GGACAGTTGGGGGAGGTTGAATGGAGGCGGTCGTCGTGTCGTCAGCAGCACCAGTAGTCCGGGGCGCTGCTCCGGTAGCCCAGTCGTAGCCAGCTGCGCCAGTCGCCCGTGGGTCCGTTGCTCCTGCCGCTCAGAGTTAGCCGCCGAGCCAGTTACTCCTGTAGTCCGGGGCGCTGTTCCGGTAGCTACTGTGCCAGTGTGACTCCTGTTGCCCGTGTGTCTGCAGCTTCAGCCGTCGCCTCCTATCTCCTCTCCTCTTACAATCCCGCCTCCTCCTCACTTGCCCTCTGTGATAGCCTCTAGCTTGGCTTATAATTGTGAACTTTAAACTGTTGCGTGTGCTCAGAATGTGTGGTGACATTGTGATCCACCCTGAGCTTATTTTGCTTTGCTTCTTGTGCTGATTACACCCCACTTTGACTATGGGGGTGAGTCAGAATATTATGTTTCTCTAGTCTGCAGTGGGGTACTCTATAGTGAGTACAACCCTTTTAGGGTTTGCTATATGTATCCCAATGTTTGCTAGTGAACCCCTCACTTCCGCTCCACTCTTCTCTCATTCATTCCTGTTTCATTCTTCACACGGGGCAGCATGGGCGACGGGCGGGCCGAGCTAGGGTCGACGGGCGGGGCGGGCCTAGGGTCGACGGGCGGGCCGGGGCCTAGGGTCGACGAGCGGGCCGGGCTATGGTCGACGGGCGGGCCGGGCCTAGGGTCGACGGGCGGGTGCGCGGGGCAGCAGGGGCGACGGGCGGGCCAGGGCCTAGGGGCGACGGGCGGGCCGGGGCCTAGGGTCGACGGGCGGGCCGGGGCCTGGGGTCGACGGGCGGGCCGGGCTAGGTCCGACGGGCGGGCCGCAAGGGGCGGGCGTGCTGGGCAGTAGGTGTAGAACGAGGGCTGCAGAGGGCGGCGCGTGAGCTAGCAGGGCGGCGCGTGAGCTAGCAGGGCGGTTAGTGGGGCAGCGCTATGGTGGGCCCTAAAAAAAAAATCGGTCCTAAGGAAGGACCTGCTCTGATACCATGTCAAAAAATGAACTATGAAAGAGTTGGGTACAAGTACTAACCCTAATGAGGTTGTACCCCTTATGGGCTACCCCACCATAGCCTACACAAAACAAACAATATAACATTCTGACAGTAACATGCACTCGACCTGAACTTGCCTACACTCTTAGCATCCTGGCACGCTACGTTGCGCCCGGGAGACACCGACCAGGGCACTGGGAGGCCGCTAAAAGAGTGTTGCGCTACTTGTACAGTACGTCGGGCATGGGACTCGTGTTTGGAGGACGGGGTCCAGTTGTCCTCACTGGACACGCAGACGCTTCTTGGGTTGACAACTTGGCTACGCAGCAGTCGTCACAGGGTTATATTTTCAGCCTTGGCTCCGGCTCTGTTTCTTGGCGGTCTACCCGCTCATCTTCTGTTCTCGGTTCCAGTTGTGAGGCTGAGATCTACGCAGGGGCCATGGCTGCACTGGAGTTACGCTGGCTCACCTACCTGCTGACCGACTTGGGAGAGCAGCCTCGTTCTTCTCCAGTTCTGTACGTAGACAACAAGGCCATGATTGCCTTGTGTCAGGAGCACAGACTGGAGCACAGAACAAAGCACATCGCTCTGCGTTTCTTCTTTGCTCGAGAGTTGCAGCAGTGTGGTCAGCTTCGTGTTGCTTACGTGGCCACTCGGGCCAATACTGCTAATATATTCACCAAGGCACTTCAGTCTGGTGATCATCAGCGTTTCTGTACTGTTTTAGGCCTTGTACCTACTTTGCCTCAATTGCTCACTGCGTGACTTTGCTTGTACTGTGATCTATATATATACTTGTATGCTTACACCTGCTAGGGTATGATCACTGTACTATTTGTTCTCTTTTATATAACTCTGCATGTGAACTGGCCTTGTGGCCTTTGCTTGTGCTTGGAATGTGTGGTGACTACGTGATCTACCCTGAGCTTGCTTTGCTTTTCTTGACTGGTCTTGTGACCACTTGGTCTCCCCCACTTTGCCTGTGGGGTTGTATCAAAATGTTATATTGCTTGCTTTGTGTAGGCTATAGTGGGGTAGGGTAGCCCATAAGGGGTACAACCCAATTAGGGTTAGTACTTGTACCAAACTCTTTCATAGTTCATTCATTCTCGTTCTAGATTCTAACAGAAAGAACTAACGGTGGGCCCTTCAAAAAATCCGGTCCTAGGCTAGGAACGTCCTAGCTCTTGATACCATGTCAGAATCCCAACCACTAGACCATTGGGATAAAATGGCTTGTTAAGTAGCGGGTCAGTGCGCCCATAACCCTCCAGGACAATGAGTCTGTAACCCTGCCCTATGATCAATCGGGGATCACTAGTGGACCTCTGACACCCCCCCGCACTGGGATGCCCGAAGTGCACACACTGGGATTCGAACCCGAGACCTTCGCTTTGATATCATGTTGAAGTACTAATGAAGAAGTGATGACATTAGGTAAAGGGGGTTATACAAGTAGAAGGTCGAGAGAAATATTGTACCCCTAAGGGCTAAACCCACTACAGCATAGAGCAATATAAACATAGAAGTTTTGACACTTTGCTGGCACAGGTTTAAAATATGCCATCGTCTGACGAAGTACTGGATCATGAGTGGAGGTTGCGAAACATAAGAGTTTGTGTTACACCTGACTAATTTTTGTGTTTCCACCTTGTGTTTGAAACGAGTCGACGAAGAAGTCTGACTTTTTTTTTTCGTGGTAGGTGAAAATGCATTATACAACGTGCAGCGCAAAACACTGTCGGTCGTAACCGGAGGTAGAGGGCATATGTAGTGTATGCCGTACCCTCTCAGAGATATAAGGAGGCTTATAGACCAAACGCCTAAAATTTTCAACTTGCCCACTACAAAATCCCTTTGTGCCGTTGGCACACTTCAGCTCTGGCAGAAATGCCTCGGTAGGTTCCAGGTTCTGTATCTGTCGCTTATGCTTGGAAGAATTGGCTCCGAGCCTGCCTTGCCGTGCCTTGTAAAAAGGTTGGGATCCAACAGAGAAAACCCTGGTTCGAAATTGCTGCCGAGCGGGACCTTCGTGATGGATGTTCAGTCTTGGTCCTTTGGCTCCAAATCTGATTCGCCGAGAGTGGTGGAGTTGGTTTGGGAGAGCAGAATTTGCCCTGGTTCGAAGTTGCTGCCTATCAACTGTGCCTTGTACACCAAAGCCTCCTATGCCAGGCAGTTGCGTGAGCGTGACATGGTCCTCACTTGGCTTCCCGCTGCTTCAAGAGCCAGGCTCGATTGGACGAGCGGTAAAGAACTGACCACCTAGGCTCGCTATTGGTCTAAAAGTTTCACAATCTATCCAATCATACCGCGTCTGTACCGAACTGCTATCAGAACTTTTCGCAATCGCCGCATTCCGCCTTCCTCAGGCTGTGGGACAGCACGGCAAAGCGGCCAACCGCCGTCAGTTCCACGACCACATGGGATCATGTGATGTAGCCAGGTCCTCCTGGCCCCATCTTTGACATGTGTTGGACGTCACCCGTGTCTAATTGCAGCCTCCCAGATTCCACAACCACCATGGTTTGTCCACGTGGAACGTATCGGTGGGTCGCGCTCCTAATCTGACGTTCGTTGCGCCTCTTTTTTCCTTTGGTTGGTTTGCCAGGCCGAACCTCCTTTTACGCAAAGTAATCAAGGCTTCTTAGCAAATTCTCCCATAAGATCCTGGCTGCGGAGATAGTCGTCGCTCGACGTTTAGAGACGCATTGGAAAAACAAATGCTGCCCAGAACCATGCGGGCATTCAATGCTTGCTTAAAAGCAATGTTTCATAAGCTCAGGATGGTGACGATGTACATTTCGTTGAAATTAGCGGGCAAAGTATCCGCCTTCCCAAACATTTACGGCCACTTGTTGCTGATTTGGTTTGGTGGTCCTCCCTGCTTGTGCCACACACAAAACCGTGCAATTCGGGCCCGACTTCTTCCACCGTATATATCCCACCGCACCGTACTCAGATCTGTACCAACCACTCTATAACCATACTAACATCAACTCAAGCTCCAAAGCACAAGCAGCAAAGCTCGAGGATCCATTCTCCCATCATGGTCCCAGAGGGATCCATTCCTGCCATTGCTCCAACTCCAGCTGAGCTGTAAAATTCGTGCTTTCTTGCTCTCGCCTATTCGCTCGCCGCGGCCTTCCCTTATCTTGTGCGTGTGGCAATCTTAGAGCGACAGCAGCAAGGCGTCGATCAGCAAGGCAAGCTGGGCCGAGCCAAAACCCGACCAAATCCTACGGACCAACACTGTATCTGGGCTTAGTCCGGCTAGGATATCAGCTATCGTCGTCTCGTCACCCTCTTTCGTTGATCGTGCGAACAGCAAAGCAGGTCTTACATTCTCTCGGCGAGTAGCAGGTCGGCGAAGGGGAGGTGGTATTCATTATTTACCGCATCGCGTTTATCTACCTGGTCACGTTCAGAACACGTTTCTTCTGACATTATTCATCTCCGCGAGCTCTCTTCGCGATAAGCTTCTCGAACCTGCGCACCGAGCCATCATAATCTAAAGCTTCTGCCGTTTGACTGGATCGTCAAGCCAATCGGCGAATTTCGCATTCGTCTGAGATCCTACGGTGGAAGCGGCAGATGTCCTTAATTAGATGCTGACATCAGCGAGCTTTACTAAGCGCAGCGGGCATGCTATGGCAGCATGGAGAATCGAGCACGTGACCACCAGGAATGACTGCAAAGACAAGACATGGCGCATTCTTGCATTCCTGCTTCCCACCCCTTCCAACATTGTTAGTCAAATCTAGGAACTAAAACCTAGCGCTCATTAAAATCACTCATCGCGACGCCGTCCGTCTCTTCGAGTATTGACTACCTATTCAGAAGTCCGTCCGATCAGCGTCGTTTCCAGCCTTAGGACGCCTAATTACAGCATCGTTTCGTATCATACCGCATCATATCGTATCGGACCGGATCTTTTAGGACGGCTTGCATCGTTAAGGCCCTCTTCCATCCATGACCGCACAAGTCGCATCCATGTCCGCCGTCGCGTCGCTAGGAGTCACCGTCAAATCCGCCTCGACATCCGCGTTAAGCGAAGGCTCTTCTTATACCGAGGATGCCGTTTCCACCCCGATCACCGGCGGCATTCCCGAGGGCTGGCCGGTGAACGCCCCCACGGAGCTGCCTCCGCATTTGGCGGCGGATGCGGCGGCGGCGGATCCGGTGGTGCGGTTTACGGTGGCGGAGCAAGTCAAGAAAGGCGAGGACTTTCACATGGCACTCGCTAACTATCGGTTAGGCGGCGTCAACTGCGGCGTCTACTGCGTAAGTCGAAATTCGAGTTCCGGTTGTGCTTGTTGGTGTGTCTGTCGGTGTGTGTTCATTGCGAGGTTCGCCGTAGAGGCGTCAACGGCGGCGTCAACTGCGCTCGCCAAGTCCAGTTCCCGCCGCTCTTGTCGGTGTATTCGTTGCAGCCTCAACTTCCCCCTCTTCCTTCAACCCCCCTCGCCCCTCCCCCTCCCCCACGTCCCCTTTTTCCCGTGCGCGCCTCTCAGGTGTTCGACGGGCACAGCGGCACTGCAGCAGCCATGCATTGCAAGAAGGAGCAGCTGGGATTCGTGAGCGAGTACCCTCCACTCATCCCCCCCATTCTCTTCCTCCTCCCCGCCCGCCATCCCTCCTCCCTCCCCATCTCTACCCCTCCCATCCTTCCCCTCACCTCTCCCCCCTCAGGTGTTCGACGGGCACAACGGCACGGCGGCAGCCATGCACTGCAAGAAGAAGCTGCTGGGGTTCGTGAGCGAGTACTCTCCTCTCCACTCATCCCCACCATTCCTCCCCACCTTTTCCCCTCGTTCCTCCACACCTCTCTCTCCCCTCCTTCCTCCCCGCCCTCCGTCAGGTGTTCGACGGGCACAACGGCACAGCGGCGGCCATGCACTGCAAGAAGGAGCTGCTGGGGTTCGTGAGCGAGTACCTGCCGGGGGGGGCGTCGTACCGAGAGGACGCGGGGGAGAAGGGCGAGGAGGCCGAGGTGACGAGTCAACCGCGCGACGGGGAAGGCGGTGGCGGTGGCGGAGGCGGAGGCGGGGGAGGGAGGGATGCGTGGTTGAAGGCACTACCGATGGCGCTGGCCGAAGGATTTCTCAAATGCCACAACACGTTTGCCCTGCGTGAGTGCTGCACGCGCATGCATGCATGCGTGCGAGCATGTGCGTTCCCCCACCCTCCCACCCTCTCCTCCCCCCCCTTCGCATCCCAACACCAGAGGGCCAGCCGTCCGGGGCGACAGCAACGGTGGCGATCGTGTTGGGACAGTCACAGTGGCAGCAGTGGGGGACCCGTGGGATTCCTGCATCCTCCTTTACCCCCAACTACCCGTGTAAACTGTACTGCCCGCCCGCTTCCCGCTATTGTAACACCAGGGGGCCAGCCATCAGGAGCGACAGCAACGGTGGCGATCGTCTCGGGATGGACGGTGACAGTGGCAGCAGTGGGTGACTCGCTGGCTTCACACACGTCCCTCCCCCCTCCACTCACACCCGCCTATTCCCTCTCCTCTCCCCTCTCCTTGATTGAACTTTTGAGAATTCACAAAAGTTCAATCAACGTAGCTGGCTTTACACACGCCCCTCCCCCCACCACTCTCACCCGCCTATTCCCTCTCCTCTCCCCTCTCCTTGCCTCTCCCATCGCCTCTCCCCTCCTTTCTCTTCTTTCCCCGTCCCCACATTTCATTACCAGGGGGCCAGCCGTCCGGAGCGACAGCAACGGTGGCGATTGTGTCGGGATGGACGGTGACAGTGGCAGCAGTGGGGGACTCGCGCGCCATTCTAGACACCACTGGAGGGGGCGTCATACCCCTGTCGCTGGACCACCGATTCGAAGTCTCAGAGGACGAGTGAGTGGGGGACGAGAGGGGAGCGACTCTTGAGCTGCCGTTACTGAGGGGTGAAAAGGGCCCAGTTGGGGGCTTGAAAGTACGATTCTGGACGCCACTGGGGGGGACGTCGCACCCTTCTTGCTGGATCACCGATTCAAAGTCTCAGAGGATGAGTGAGTGGCAGGAAGAAGAACGGGGAAGGGGGTGTGAGGGAGGTGGGGGAGGGGAAGGGTTACCTACCTGTTTACTTGTGAGGTATTTTCGAGGGACTGTGGGGTCTTTTTAACCTTGAGGTAGCTGAGGGGGTCATTTCCCCATCTAATATGTGCTGCCTGTGCTGCCCTGTCTGTTGAAATCACCTGATCAGGTGCAACAGAGTTCTCAAGGAGGGCGGCCAACTTGCCAGGCTTCGGACTTTCGATGGCACGCAGGTGTGTCTTGAGGGTGGTCAGGGTGTTTTCAGCTGTCCATGAGTGTTTTGTCAGGTAGGTGTAACACCAGACGTGTTGTCATGTGTGTGTGTGTATGCATGACAAAGGCTTTCATATCAAAATTACTGTTGCAATCAAATTGTTTCCCTCACATTCACACGAGATGGAAAAGACGCTCAAAACAGTACTAACTATTCTCCCTCCTTTTCCCCCAACCCCCATCCCCTCCATCTCCCCAATCTCCCCCATCCCCACCATCCCCTCCCGTCTACAGCTGGGCCCATTGCGAAGCTGGCCGGGAGGGCTGTGTTTGTCGCGGTCAATAGGCGATGTGGACTGTGGCACGGCTGAGTTGACTCAAAATCCATTCCCTCTGTCCCCTCCATCCCCTGCTATCTCTTCTCTCCTCTCCTCTTCCCTCTCCCCACACCCTTGTGCCTCTCATCTACAGCTGGGCCCGCTGCGCAGCTGGCCGGGAGGGCTCTGTGTGTCGCGGTCGATAGGCGATGTGGACTGTGGCACGTTCATCACGCCGTTGCCGCATGTCAAGCAGATTCAGGTGGGCGCGAGAGGGGTGTGGAGGGGTGTGGAGGGGTGTGGAGGGGTGTGGAGGGGTGTGGAGGGGTGTGGAGGGGTGTCTATACACATTGTGTTCGTGTGTGGGAGGCGATGCGCACTGTGGCACGTTCATCACGCCGCTACTGCATGTCAGGTAGATCCAGGTGGGTGATGAGTGGGGGGTGTGGAGGGGTGTCAATACACTGTGTGTTCACGAGTGGGTGTGGGGCAAGGGAGGGAGTTTCGTGTTGGTGTGTGGGATGGTAGGCGATGTGGACTGTACCACGTTTATCGCGCCGCTGCCGCATGCCAAGCAGATATCCAGGTGGGTGCGAGGTGGGGTGGATGAGCGGGGGAAGGGGTGTGTTTGCGTCAAAGCAGATTGAAGTGGCTGTGGTGGGAGGGAAACAGGAGGGGTGTATGCAGAAGAGGGGAGACGAATGTTCAAGTGTGTAGTTTTGGTTTTGTCCCATTTTTGACCCCCAATTCCTTCTATGCCCCCCTGTGCCCCTAGGTGTCCCTCTGTGCTCCTCTGTGCTCGCCATTCCATCTTCAGGTCCCCCAGGCGGGTGGAAGGGTGGTGATGGCATCAGATGGGCTGTGGGACGCAGTGGACTTAGACAACTGTGCGTGTGTGCTGTGACCCTCTCTTCCCCTCTCTTCCCCTCTCTTCCCCTCGCTGCCCCTCACCGCACCCAGTTGTTTCATGTGTGCCTTCCTTCCCCCTCTCTTCAGGTCCCCCAGGCAGGTGGAAGGGTGGTGATGGCGTCAGATGGGCTGTGGGACGCAGTGGACTCAGACAAGGCCGCCAGGCGATGTAGAGGGCTGCCCTGCACTGCTGCTGCCCCACTGCTCGTCAAGGTGAGGTGCAGTGCGGTGCTGTGTGGTGCTCTTGTCGTGGGATGCGGTGGACTCAGACAAGGCAGCAAGGCAATACAGCGGGCTGTGCTGCACCGCTGCTGCTCCGTTGCTCGTGAAGGTGCGGTGCTGTGAGGTGCTTCTTGGTGTGTTTGGTGCTCCGTGCTGTGCGGTGCTGCTTGCTTAAGATGCGGTGGAATCAGACACGGCCGCCGGGCACTGCAGAGGGAGGGCTGCCATGCTGTGCACTGCGTGAAATGAGTCGTGCTTTGAGTCGACTCAAAACACGACTCATTTCCGCCGGGCGCTGCAGAGGGACGGCTGCCATGCACCGCTGCTCATCACATTGGGTTGGGGGGTGCTACCCAGTTCTGCTCGGTGCTGCGTGGTGCTGTGTGGTGCTGCTGAATTGCCGTTGCTGTTTGAGATTGACATCGCTGCCTTGTCCTCCCTCCCCTGCCAGTGCCTTCAACCCCCGTTCTCCCCTCCCTCCCCTCCACCTCCCTTCCCCCCTTCACAGGAGTCCGTCAAAGCCAAGGGTCTGCGCGATTACATCACAGTGCTAGTTTTCGACCTGCTCGCCGCGTCTGCTTCTTCACTGGCCTCACTGCTTGAACTATCTCTACCTTGTCTCACCCAACCCCCCTTCACAGGAGTCCATCAAGGCCAAGGGCCTCAGGGATGACATCACAGTGCTAGTGGTCGACCTGCTCGCCGCCTCTGCTGCCGCTGACCCCTCCGCCTGCCCCGTACCCAAGGCCCCCAGCTCCAAATCCTTCTTCTCCAAGTTCAGGGTACGTTCCGTTCCATCGCACTTACTGCTTCCAGCTGACTTAATTTGTTGCTGAAAGCGCACGTAGGCTTCACATCAACATGTTTAGGTCAGCCAGTGCTCTTTAGGTGGTGCCTCCAAGCCCCCCCACCTCCAAGCCCTTCTTTGCTTCAAGTTCGAAATTCGTACGTCCCAGATGGGCCAAGCTCCCTCCCCACCTGACTACCCTTCCCCTCCCAATCCCTTTCCCCTTTCCTCATTCCCTCTAACCCCGTTCCCCCACCCCCTCTCCAACCCCCCACCCCCCCACCCCCTTTTCCCCCACTTTTCTCCCTCCTGTCCTATCAGAGCAAGCATAACTCCAGCTATCTTCCCAACTTATAATTCCAGCTGTCTTTCCAACTCCTCAAAGGGGTCGACCTCCCTGCCTGCCACCGCAGCCCCAATTTTCCAACTGGCTTGAAACCCCCTCCCTCCCCGCCTACCCCTCCCCCAATCCCTTTCCCTGTTCTTCCATTCCCTCTAAACCCCATTCCTCTCTCCCCCTCTCGAACCCGCCCCCCCCCCCCCCCCCCCCCCCCCCCTTCTTCACCCACCCCCTCCCCCACGTGTGTTTCCCCACTTCTCTCCCTTCTGTCCAATCAGCGCAGGAGCTACGCCAGCTATCTCTCCAAGTCCTCCAAGAAACTAAGCTCTCTACCACCCCAACTTTTCAATAAACTCGACCCCCCCCCCCCCCCCCCCCCCCACCTCCTTCTCACTCCCCCCCTTCCCTTCCCCTCCCCTCCTCCATTCTCCCTTTCTCTTTCTGTCCCACCAGAGCAAGAGCTATTCCAGCTATCTCCTCAAGTCCGCCAAGGGCTCAACCTCCCTGCCACCCACAACCCCAATCATTGAGTTGACTCCTTTCCCTCTACCCTTGCCACTGTCTCCCGTTTGTCCACTGTCCCCCCAGAGCAAGAGCTATTCCAGCTATCTCTCTAAGTCCGCTAAGGGCTCTAGCTCCCTGCCACCCACAACCCCAACCCCAAGCGCCGCCCCCCGCAACCCGTGGGACCAGCGCGTCCCCTTTATAATGAACGACCACGACTCGATAAGAGGCGGCGACCTCTTTGAGCGGTACCAGAACAGCTCGGTACACTCGGCGGGGAATTTCTGTGCGGTTTGCGGGGAGCAGATTGATAATTCTGAGAATGCGGAGGCGAGTGTTCGGGCAGGGAATAGAATGTGCTCGCGGCATGCCAAATGTGGGTAGCAGATGTGGTTGGGAAAGGTGAATTGGAGTGTCGGATTGAGAGGGGAACTTATTTTTCTCCGGGCTATGTAGTGTGCAACTACCGTAAGTTTGGCCAAATGTTGCGATGCATCTATAAAGCTGCGCAAGCAGCTTTGGGGGTACAGGTGTAGACTCGAACAGCAGGAAGGACAACTATATATTACGAATTGAATTTCTGATAGCGTGGTAACAGTGGCCATGATTACTACTGTACTACTAATGCTTGAGTTATGATTCACTCAGCAATTCTAGCTCATGCATTTTGTTTTCAGTGAAGACGAATGTAACTTGCAAACATTGATTGGTACTTCAAATTCCATTTTCAGCATCACTGAATCCAGTCAGACATTGTGTTTCATGCTGCTGAAATGTTGAAGCCTCTTTCTTCTAGAAGGTTCAGGCCAATAAACCTGAGGGGATGAGAAAATGAAAGGGGAACATAAGCAAGAAAGCAAGCAAGAACGAAAGAAGACAAATAGGGAAAGAGCAGGGAGAGTACAGTTGTGAAAGAGGTACGACCAGCTCCAATCACATGGCCATGCGGTTGGTGCCTTGGGACGTGAGAAACATCCACCCATCAACCACTCTCAGTGCCTGCACGCCTTTCAACCATGCAGCAATGCAGCAATGCAGCAATGCTCGCACCTCCCAAGCATGAGGCATGTGGTCACGGGGTTGGTGGTGCCGGGGAACGTGAGAAACGTCGACCCATCCACCACTCACAGCGCCTTCACACCGCTCACTCCAAACAGCCATTCCCTCAGCTCGATACACTCTCCCATGTTCCACCCAGGTGAGACATGTGGCCATGGGGTTGATCCCAGGAGACATGAGAAACGTTAGTCCATCGATCACTTGCATTCCACTCTCCATGTTCCACCCATCTCACCTCCCGAGCATGAGGCATGTGGCCATGGGGTTGATGGTGACGTGAGAAAGGTCGACCCATCCACCACCCTCAGCGCCTGCACGACGTGCACGCGGTAGCCCATGCACCCATTGTAACAAGCCCAGTAGCTAGAGTGTGCCCTCACCTCCCGAGCATGAGGCACGTGGCCATGGGGTTGGTGCCGGGAGACGTGAGAAACGTTGATCCATCCACCACTCGCAGCACCTGCACGCCGTGCACTCGGTAGCTGCTGTCCACACACACGCCCCTGTGACAGCCCATCCCATCGGTAAGCTCACCTCCCGAGCATGAGGCATGTGGCCATGGGGTTGGTTCCAGGAGAAGTGAGAAACGTTGATCCATCCACCACCCGCAGCGCCTGCACGCCGTGCACGCGGTAGCTACTGTCCACACACACGCCCCTGTGACAGCCCCCGTGAAAATGCCAGATGACTGTCACCGTGTCCTGTGGTGGTGGAGGGGGAGATAGGGTGGGAGGGGAAGAGTAGATGTGGCTCAACCCTGCTGATGTCTCTGGTGGCTGCTGTCCACACACACGCCCCTGTCGCACCCCCCGTGGATTTTGAGGCGCCTCAAAATACACCTCAATAGTAGCTGCTATCCACACACACGCCTGTCGCAACCTCCGTGGAAATGCCAGATGACCGTGACAGCGTCCTGTGGGGGGGAGATAGGGAGGGGAGAGTGGGTGGAGGATGGGGAAGGAGAGGAGATTCATACGTTGAGTTCTCATCAGCATTAGCGCCTGCACGGCACGCTGTGCACTCGGTGGCTGCTGTCCACACACACACCCCTGTGACAGCCCCCGTGAAAATGCCAGATGACCGTGACGGCGTCCTGATGGGGGGGAGATAGGGAGGGGAGAGTGGGTGGAGGATGGGGAAGGAGAGGAGATTCATACGTTGAGTTCTCATCAGCATTAGCGCCTGCACGGCACGCTGTGCACTCGGTGGCTGCTGTCCACACACACACCCCTGTGACAGCCCCCGTGAAAATGCCAGATGACCGTGACGGCGTCCTGATGGGGGGGAGATAGGGAGGGGAGAGTGGGTGGAGGATGGGGAAGGAGGAGGAAATTCATACGTTAGAGTTCTCATCAGCATTAGCGCCTGCACGGCATGCTGTGCACCCCGTAGCTGCTTTCCACACACACGACACACGCCCCTGTGACAACCCCCGTGGAAATGCCAAATTAGTGGGTTAAGGGGGAGGAGGTAGTGGGGGTGGGGGGAAAGAATATTTATTGCTGTGAAAGAATCAGGAAGTTGCTTCTGCGAATTCACACAAGTTTTTTTTAATGCTCACGGGATTTGAGACCGCTCAAAAGCGAATATAGGGAGATCCACCATGCAACATTGAGCGGAAGCATGAGACAAAGGAAAAATAAACAAACAGAGAGAGACCCACATGGCACCCACTGAGCAGATGCAGTGAAGTTGGAGACGTCTGGGAGAGTAGGTGTTTGAGTCAACCAAAAACAGAATTCCAAAATACTAGATTTTGATATAGACTCACCTTACACCACTGAGCGGTCGTAGTGAAGTTGGAGACGTCTGGGAGAGCAGGGGAAGCTCCCAGGTAATTTCCTGGAGTGACGAGTGCAGCTCCAGGGTCAAGGAGACTGCATTGATGTGAAGGTGAGTGGGGGTCAACATGGACAGAAGGGGAGAAGGAAAGCCTGATCAGGGAAGAAAGGATCACGAGGGAATGAAGAAGAGAGACAGGGAGATGAAGATAGAAGAAGGGAGGGGAGAAGGAATGAAGAAAGAGAAGTTGGCGGGAGGGCAGAGTGATAGGCGAGGTATCGCTCATAAACAAGCGATAGGCGGGGTGTCATAGTGGAAAAGGGCCATGGCATTGGAAGGGGTTGGGGCAGAGGAGGTTGATGCGAAGGAGGTTTATGAGGAGTTGGAGGAAGACCGGGGGTGGGGCCAGAGAGGGTGTGCTTACAAGAGAGCAACGGGCGGGGTGTTGTAGCGGAAAGGCGCCATGGCTAACAAAAGATTATGTTAGCAGCTGAGCGCCCCTCAGCTCTTGAGGTGTGGCCAATTTGACTTGGGCAATGGGGTTACAAGAGAGCGACGGGTGGGGTGTCGTAGCGGAAGGGCGCCATGGCATTGGAGGTGACTATCTTGGTGAGTCGGACACGCCTTGTGAGGCGCCTCATAAGTTGGATTACAAGAGAGAAGGCTTACAAGAGAGCGACGGGTGGGGTGTCGTAGCGGAAGGGCGCCATGGCATTGGAGGTGACTATCTTGGTGAGCAGCTGCGCTCCCCTCACACACGTGGCCACGTCCTGTGAGAGATAGAAGTGGACGAGGGGAGACACGAGTGGGATTGAGGAGAAGGGAGGTGGGATTGGGGTGGAGAGGAGAGGTATGCAGAGCACTGTGGCACTCCTTCTAGCTTTGAGACGTCTCAAAACTCAAAATTAAACTGTAGCATTGCCTGTAGCACTCCTTCTAGCTTTGAGATGTCTCAAAAATAAACTGTAGCACAGCCTGTGGCACTCCCTCTAGCGCCATACCTGGGGGGCGGAGAAGTAGTTGTATCGAACGATGGGGTTGCCTGAGGCATTGAGGGATGCGATGTAAGGGCGAGAGAGATGAGAGGTACAGCTGTGGCCCTGTGAGCTCTGTACACGTGTGGCAGCATACCTGGGGATCAGAGAAGTTGTAGCTCACGATAGGGTTGTCCGAGGCATTGAGGGATGCAAGTGAGAGGGAGGTGAGAGGTCCACTTGTAGCACTGTAAGCTTGAATCACTATACACGTGTGGCACCATACCTGGGGGGTGGAGAAGTAGTTGTATCGCACGATGGGGTTGTCTGAAGCATTGAGGGATGCGAGTGAGAGGGACCCTCGTGAGGCAGGCAGGTAGACCTGTGTCCAAGCGGAAAGAGGGGCGACGGGAGAGAGAGAGAGAGAGAGAGAGAGAGAGAGAGAGAGAGAGAGAGAGAGAGAGAGAGAGAGAGAGAGTGAGAGAGAGAGAGAGAGAGAGAGAGAGAGGAGGGGGGCAGCGAGAGAGAGGGGGTGGTTTTGTCATGTTCTGATTTGCTTCGAAGGGGGAATTCGGCATCTTCATTTCCAATCAGCTGAGTAGCCACTACCACCGCACTTACCTTGTGCAGAATAAACCCTGCTTGGTTCAGAATGTCGCTTATAACGGCGGGAATGAATGGCAGCATGGCTTCAATCATCGCCTCCGTCTGCCCCGTGCGGTTGATGGGGGGAGCCGTGTTGAGCTCGCCTGCTCCTGCCCAGCTCATTGTGTGGTTCGACCCAGACGCGCCTTCAATGATGTTGCCCTCTGGGGTTACTGCCACAAACTGACGGAGAAGGGGGGGGGGAGGGAGCGAACAGGAGTGCAGGAGAATGGGAGTGCAGGCAAATGTGAATGAAGGAGAATTGGAGCGTCGAAGAATTAGGCGGCGCTGTGTTGATGTTCCCGGCCAACTCAGCGTGTGGTTCAACTACGATGCACCCTCTATGATGTTGCCCTCTGGGGTTACAACCACGAACTGGGAGAGTAGGAGGGGGCGAGGGAAGAGAATTGAAGAATGGGAGGGCACGAGAATGGGAAGGAAGCAGAAACAATTATGCTTCAGCTGGCTTGGCCCTCTGGGCGACTTCTAATTGCGAGGGACGATCACTGAGGCACCTAAAAAAACTTTGAAGTTGCGAATCTGGACGATCACTGAACTTTCGTCCACACCCTTCCCATCCATCCATTCCCCATCCACCTACCTGCAGTGATGACTCCTCAACGGGCCTGGGAGACAGCACGTTGATACCATTGATCGGCACATCAGTCACGTTCACGCCCACCCCCGGCACCCCCAGGGGCTCCAGCTTCTCTCGTGGGCCAGCCTGCTCAGCAGCAGCAGCTGCCCCTTATCCACCCCTGCCCCTCATTTTCATGCCCCTTCCCTCATCCCCTTCCCTTCCCTCATCCCCTTCCCTCATCCCCTTCCCTCATCCCCTTCCCTCATCCCCTTCCCTCATCCCCTTCCCTCATCCCCTTCCCTCATCCCCTTCCCTCATCCCCTTCCTGGCCCTCCCCCATCCATCTACCTGCAAGGACGACTCCTCAACAGGCCTGGGAGACAGCACGTTGATGCCATTGATAGGAACGTCAGTCACGTTCACGCCCACCCCCGGCACCTCCGCCACCACCGGCACCCCCAGCGGATCCAGCTTCTCTCTGGGTCCCAACCCGCTCAGCAGCAGCAGCTGTGGCGACCCCAGTGCGCCCGCTGCTAGCAGCACCTCCCCTCCGGGGTTCAGGCGAGCGATGTGGCGGCGGTTGGTGCTGTCTGTGAACACCACGCCTGCTGCCCTTGGGGTGCCTGTGGGGGTGGGGGAGAGGAAGGGGGGCAGGGCAAGGGCAAGGGCCGGCGGGGTGAAAAACGTGAATGATTTGGCCTATACTATTTTGAGACGTCTCAAAACTAGAATACTATTCCCTTCAGCCTCCAGTCCAGCTTCTCCGTTGGCCCCAGCCCGCTCAGCAGCAGCAGCTGCGGGGACCCCAGTGCGCCTGCTGCTAGCAGCACTTCCCCTCCCGGGTTCAGCCAGGCGACGTGGCGGCGGTGTGAACACCACTCCTGCTGCTCGTGGGGTGCCTGTCAGGGAAGGGAGGTGAGGGGGGTTGAGGAAGTGGGAAGGGACGATGGCTGTGGTGACCCCTGCGCCACCCCTGCCAGCAGGACTTCCCCTCCAGGGTTCAGCCGCGCAATGTGGCTGCGGTTGGTGTTATCTGTGGACACAGCGCCTGCTGCCCTTGGGGCGCCTGGGTAGATGGGGATGAGGGGAAGAGAAGGGGAGTGGATGGGACGAGGGAGATGGGAGGAGAATGGCAGGAGGAAGGGAGGGGGAAAGGAGGGGAAGGGAGGGGATGGGAGCAGGAGGAGAAGGGAAGGGGAAGGGAGGGGGTGGTGGGATGCAGCAAGCAGAATGTGCCGCAACGTTCCGTACACGGGCACCGTCAGCCGGGCCGGGTTTCACGCCTCACATCGATTCGCTTTTTGCAACATGCACCATACACCATGCTCCACACACCCAGGCACCGTGCACCATGCACACACACGTACCACTGGTAACATCCAGCAGGATGCGTTGCACCGTGGCGTATATGAGCACCTTCAGCCGCGCCGGGTCTCCCGCTTTGAGCAGATCTGCTGCTGTCCTGCGCGTGCCGTTGCTGTCGAATATGCTGTTGGCAAGCTGTAGTGGTGGGGAGGAGTGGGGAGGAGTGGGGAGGAGTGGAGATGAGTGGGAGGGTTGCACAGCACTTTGAGCAGATCTCCTGCTGTCCTGCGCGTGCCGTTGCTGTCGAATATGCTGTTCGCGAGCTGTGAAAACAGCAAGTGGGGAAGAGTGGAAGGGTTTTTCGGAGGGAAAGAAAGGGGACAAAGGGGCATTGAGAGGGGTATGTCTCTTGCATTCAGCATGTTTGCTGCAAACCTGCGCACGCCGTTGGTTCTCAAGAATTCTCAAATACGCCATGCATGCTGTTCGCCAGCTGTCGGTGGAGTCAAGCGCGTTTCATCCTCGTTATAACCACAGATCACCCCCCACCCTGGTCCCAGTAACATGCTCCTGGCTCCTATCCCCTCCACGGCCCCAACCCCCCATAACGCCATACTTAAACGCTGCTGCCCCCACGACTGGCCCCTGCTGCCATCCGTTGTTCCCCCACCAACCCTCCTCGTCCTCTATACACCTCACACTCCAACCACACCTAACTCCCGTTGCAATCACATCACCTCACCTTGGTGCCAATCATGTGCTCTGGCGTCTGTCCCCTCCACGGCCCCAGCCCCGCCTCCAGCATGCCATCCCTGAACGCCTGCTGCCACCCCCCTGGCTGCTGCTGCCTCTCCCCTCATTCTAAACATATCACCTATCATCCTCGTTATAAACACAAACCACATCTCACCTTGGTGCCAATCATGTGCTCGGGCGTTTGTCCCCTCCACGGCCCCAGCCCCGCCTCCAGCATCCCATCCCTGAACGCCTGCTGCCACCCCCCCGGTGCCTGCTGCGGCACAAACGCGATTCTTTCCTCCACCCACTCGAATGACTGCCGCACCCTCACAGGGTCCCACCCTGCCGCCTGCACGAAATCAGCAGATGCTCGGCTGGTGGTTGGGGGGGATTGGAGGGGGTTGAAAAGGGTGCAGGAGAGGAGAGGGAAGCAGGAAAGGAGGAGGGTTGGGGCCTGAAGGCCTGCTGCCACCCTCCCGGCTGCTGCTGTGGCACAAAGGCAATTCTCTCTTCTACCCACTCGAAGGCCTGCCGCACCCTCACAAGGTCCCACCCTGCCGCCTGCACGAAATACCGCTGATGCCCGACTGGTGTGGAAGGGGGGAAGAGGGGGGTGTGAAGCGTGGGGGAGGGGAGAGGGAGGGGCGGAAGGAGGAGGAATGGGGCCTCTATGCCTGCTGCCACCCCCCGGCACCAAGGTTATTGATGACTCAACCCACTTGAAGGACTGGCGCACCCTCTATGGGTCCCACCCTACCGCCTGAATGAAAGCTGCTGATGCCCGGCTGGAGTGGAAGGGGGGAAGAGGAGACGGTTGGGAGGAAGGAAGGAAAACGAGGAGAGGGAAAAGTGGATGGGGCAAGGAAGGAGACACAAGAATGTGTTCGGAAGGCAGAGGGAGTTTGGAGGTGTTTGAAAGGCAGAGGGAGACGAGCAATGACAGGTAGAAAGAAAGTGGTTGAAAGAAAGGTACCTGCACTGCATGTTCAAAGGCAGGGAGGAGGTACCTCCAACAAAGGTACCTGGCAGCAGCCCCCCTGGTACCTGGCAGCAGCCCCCCTGGTACCTGGTCTTTGAGCACCTCCTGCCACCTCCCTGCCTACTGCTGTGCTGGCACAAACGCTCCCTCGCTGAATATTCGCCGCTTCCAGACGAGCATTCATTGAACATTCCCCAGTACCTGTAGAAGCCAGCGTTGACAGAGCTACCGCCACCCAGCACAATCCCCCTCCGGTTCCACACCCCATCCTCCGACCGGAAGGGCACTGACGCCCTCGTGCTGAGCACGTAGGGAAAGGCCTCCCTGCGGTATACTGAAGGCTGGAGATCGGGGAGGAGGGGAAGGGAAAGGGGAGGAGCGGAAAAGGGGGGGATAGGGAGGGAAGAGGTTTTGAGTGGCGGTTCGACTAGACGGGCACCGACACCCTCGTGCTTAGCACATAGGGGAAAGCCTCCCGACGATACACTGAGGGCTGGGTGGAGGGAGGTCGAAGAGGGGAGGGAGAAAGAGGTGAGTAGAGTGAAAACAAAGAGCACCGACACCCTCGTGCTGAGCACATAGGGGAAGGCCTCTCGACGATACACCGAGGGCTGAAATTGGTGGGAAAAAGGGGAGGAGCGGGTGGGTCCAGAAAGGGGAGGAAGGGATACGGTGGAGGGAAATGGATGAGGAGATCAAGAAGACAGTGCTGAGCACGTAGGGGAAGGACTCTTGACGGTAATCGAAAAAGGGGGAATGCAGGGAAGAAGAAAGGTTGAGAGGGGTGCGTGACGGGGAGATGAAGTGGAGGTTCGGCTAGAAGGCCACAGCCACCCCTCGTTCTGAGCACGCAGGTAAAGGACTCTGGTCTATCGTACACTGGAGGGAGAGGAGACAAAGACTCACACTATCGTGTCTGGTTCTGTCCATACCTGATCGTAGGGCGCACCTCCTCTCTCCAGGAGCAGCACGGAGAAGCCTTTAGAGAGCGTGGCGGTCAGAGGGAAGTGGAAGTGATACTTTACTGATGCTTTCAGAGCCAGACCTGTAACTGCTGCCGTACCTGCAATGCTAGTGGGGGGTGCTGGTTGCGTTAGCATACCTGGTCGTAGGGCACGCCGCCTCTTTCCAGAAGCAGCACGGAGAAGCCTTTAGAGAGTGTGGCGGCCAGGGGGCACCCCACTGCACCGCCTCCCACCACTATGTAGTCGAACGTGGGGCTGGGCGCGGAGGGGGCGGAGGAGGCGGCGAAGGTGGAGGTGGGCGGGGGAGTGAAGGTGGCGGCGTCTCGAATGTAGGGGTAGAGTTGCCGCCAGTTGGGGTCTGGGGGAGGGAGGGGGGGGGGGGGGGGGGGCGGATGGTAAGAGAGGCAAAGGGAGATGGGGAGAAAGAGAGGGGTTCAAAGAGGGGAGTTGAAAGAGGTGGCGGGGGAGTGAAGGTGGCGTTGTCGCAGATGTAGGGGTAGAGCTGCGTCCAGTTGGGGTCTGAGAGATAGGAATGGGACGAGATGGGAACGAAGAAAAGAACGAGATGGGGACGAGATAGGAGCGGCACGAGGACGAAACACCAAGCACAAGGACATTGGTCATGGAGAAGGGATGGAATCAAGGGAAAGAGAAGAGAAGAAATTATCCGTAGTCCCCTTAGCTAGGCTCTCGCCTTGAGCATAAGCACACTCGACTCAAAAGTCATCCGTAGTCTCCTTAGCTGGACACTCACCTTAAGGAAAATTGCGCTCGAACAGACGACTTTTAAGACGTTTCAAAAGTCAAAAGTCGTCCTTTAGCTAGACACTCACCTTGAGCATCAGTAAGGTCGAACAGAACTGCTGCCGCCAGTACTGCCGCTAAGACCACACCACGCCGTCCCGCCAACCAGGCGTTGCCACGTGTTCCACTCCGCGCCATGTCGAGGTTCGCAGGCCCCGGGCCGTCGGGAGGAAGATTTCCGAAAGAAAGCGGGCGGCAAGTGTTGAATCGGGACGTCTCGAAACAAGATTCTCTATATCCAATCAGTCGCAGAAGTTAGGAGAATATATCGCCAGAAGGATCAAGCGAGATCGGCTGCGCTCGAAGAAAGTGGCAGTTGAATGTTAGCAGCCGTTGTGAGGTTTTCAACCGCAGTGTGTTATTGAATGATCCTAAGTGAATAAGCGGAAACGGGGATGATCGTTTCGAAATAAGTCCTCGAGAGCTTTGCCCCTTAGCCACGAAAGCGAGGGGATGATAGCGTGGCGGTGTCCGGCTGGACGCGCATGACGAGGCGCGCGTATCACCCCAAGGCGCGTGTGCGCTGGCATGATTCGGACTTCTTGCGTGAGTCTCGAGCCGCCTCGGTTGAGCCGCCTCGGACTCATGTGGAGTGGTCGGAGGGCGGGGAAGGCGAGAGCCATGACGTGACTAGCTCAGGATGGAAAACCATAATTTCCTCAAACTGCCCAAACCGCTAAGCTGCTGCTAAGCCAGCTGTCTCAATTGTTCTTGGTTGTGGCAGTGGGAGCCATGACGGGACTAGCTCAGGATGAAAACCTTGATCTCCCCAGACTGCCCAGCCGCTCCAAAGCCAGCTGTCTCGATTGTTCTTGGTTTCGGGGGCGGGAGCAGCCTGCTGTTTATTGGCAATGACGGGACTAGGTTAGGTTGAAAACTAGAATTCTCCGAGACCACCCGGTCTCGACTGTTCTTGGTTCTGTCGGCAGGAGCCATGACGGGACTGGCAAGCACGGTCAGCCAGCGGGATAGATCTTTGGTTCTGGTTCAGCCACCTGTGGTGGTTACGCGACGTGGGGGGCGACGTGAAAGTTACCACCAGGCGCTATCCCACAGCGACGTGCTAGTCGTTCGTACTCATCGCACGACGGCGCCAAACTAGACTAGGACACTGACTGGTTCTGTTAACTTTGACTGGCACTGACGCTGCATCGATTCTGTCGTTCTTGCGTTCCATCGGCACGCGTGAGTGTGCGACAAAGACTACTATCTAGCATAAACTCTTGTCTCGAATGATGAATTTCGAACGCGTGAGTGTGCGAGAAAGACTATCTAGCATAAACTCTTGTCTCGAATAAGGACTTTCGACAAAGACGTGACGGAGAGGCGGATACGCCATGCGAGACCCGAGCGAGAGGGAGAAGAAACAGTTGCGGTTCTTCGCACATGCGATAATTGTGACAAACAAACCCGCGGTTGGAGGAACACCAGTGGGTGGACAAACTCGGGTAGTATCATTTCGATTGCTGTGCGACGACAGAGGAACAAGCGAGGGACGGGTATGATGATGCTCCCTAGAAGACGGACGTCGGGCATGATGATGACAGGAGACCGACGGACTCTCTTCAGAATAGGGACGTCACGTCGGTTGCGACAACGACAGGTTTCAGCGCGCGGGACGACGACAGCTGCGCAGCGGTAATTCCGAGACTGCGGAGGATGCGGATTTCAGAACCGCTGTATGAGTCAACTGGCAGGCAAGTCACGTGGATCGGGCGAGTCCAAACAAAAACTGACTGGTCCATGAGGAGCGGAGCGGAGGATGAGTGAAGTAAAAATATTGGCTCTACGTTATCTAGTTGCGTCGAGAGCAGAAACTCAGGAAAGGGACAGTCGTGGTGCGAGACAACCCCTGAATTGTGAGCGGGAATCGTAGCTGGTTGAGAAACCCAGAAACAAATGACGGGACAGAGTTCCACTATGCGGTTTGATTGAGACGAGCTTCCACCGTTGATTTTCTGACGGATCTCGAAGATAGACGATAGACATTGAGAAGTGTTTCATCTTCCGACCATTCGCGCTATAGTTTGCCACTCACACTATTGAATGAACGGACAAACGAGTGAAGGGAATCTATTCACGCTGATTATATAATTCTACCGAGTTGTCCCTTATTTGTCAGTGTTTGTTATGAATGAACTTGCAGAGTGCGCAGAATAACGAATAATGAGGATGGCTGGATACTGCATGCCCATACAATGAAATTGACGAGACCTAAATAGGGGGAAAGCTAGCTAGGCGGAGAGGTCCGGAGTGGATGGCTCGGTGATGGTTGCGATTGGAGTGGAGGCCGACTCGGGGGCGGTTCGGAGGCCGAACAGGTTCGTCGCGTGGCCCTCGGGATGTCCTCTCTAACGAGTGCCTCAGTAAGGATTAGTAAATCCTTACACTCTCCCACCTTCTAAATAAGGCAGCCCTGTACTGAGAACAGACCCCACACTAGCGAGGATGCCGTAGATCTCCTCTTCAGCTGAATCCGACGGCTGAAATGCCTTTGACAATATTTTTGAAGAGGTTGGAATGTAGGCCGTTGATGAAGTCTGATTTCGATCTGACGGTCGGAGACTGACGCGAAAAGAGATGGAACCTGCTGACACGAATTCAAACGCAATTGAGCAGGGACCGTAGATCGTGTCGGTGTGATCGCGATCGTCCGTCGTGCTGACGCAACCTGACAAAGTCAGAAAGGACCGAGAAAAACGTCAAGGAAAGAACAGTGCAAAGCACTTTCTCCCCCCCCTCCAAGAAAACTGTTCACAAAATCTTCACAGTTGCGCCGAAGTAAAATCCAACAGAACCAGGTGTTAAGTCCCACTGAAAACGAGTGTTGAGCGTGGGGGACAAGGTGAAAACGTGTCGGTGTGGAAGGTCGATGACGAAACCAGTAGTACGTGCCCAAAAAATCTTCGAGGGTGAACCAGAAGATGTAGCCCGGAAACCGTGTCGAAATAATCAAAGACCTCGAACTGTCAATTCTTGTCGTGACACATCCAGAATCTTCGGTGGTGTGTTCAGCAGTTACAGCTGGCAGCACCTGACGTGGTTGATATTAAATGCAGTTGTCGTGGGCGGGTCGAAGGTGAGTTGTTAGTAGCAGAGCTGGAATGGTTTCTCCGAGAGTTTTGTCGTTATGCGCCGATAATTCGTGGGCAGGGATGAAATTTCACAGCTCACTCTCCCCCCCCTCCACTGTTGCTGCCGCCTTCTTCAGCTCGTCGTAAGTCGTTCGTACCCCTTGAAACTCCGTGTGGTTCCCGCGGTGTTGCCCCACGTAAATGTTAGGCGCGTTTCACCAAACGCCGAAGTACTGTCACGAAAATGTCGGCGCTCCTCCCCATAAAACCGGTAAGTCCGTCGTCAAACTCCGAAATTGTCGCTCGAAAACAACCCCGTAAAATCCGCAGTCGAAAGTGCAGTTCTCCTTCGAAATCTTCGGTCGTACTATAGCCGCCCACTCGGTCACCAGCTGTTTCCGTCAGTTCAGAACCCATCTGGGGGCATAATCTGGAACCGGGGACTAGACCTGGGTATTCCGAGACCGACTTTCACGGATCCTAGAGGCATCAACGCCGTTGACCCCGTCGTCGAAACTGCTCCCGCCGATGATGTTTTAACAAAATAACACGCAAACTCCCACGGGCACTTAGCAGATGTTTCACCTCATCGCTCGTCGCCGGCAGGTAAATCCCGAAACTTCGGCTGCTCCCACGCTCCCTTCGACTGAAGAATTTCCCGCGGTGTACGTTTAAACACCCGTGGGTTCTAGGTTCCCCGCCGCTGTGTTTCTTGCCAGGCGACTTTAAAAGGTGACCCTTCAGGCGAAGTCCCCCAACGGCTCAACCGCACTCCAAGAAGCGAAGAAACACCCTCAGCTTCAACTCATATTTTTTTTCGTAGAAAAGTCACCCGAAAATCATGATTGAAGAAGCAGTCCCGAAGATATTCTCCGCCGTGTAGCCCCGACGTTTCCGCCGTTAACCCTGGTACTCCAATGTTCACCCATCTTCCTACCCGTCGAAACCACTTAGCGAATCCCAGGTATCCTTGGCAATGCACCCCTCGCCGCGCCTCCAAGTAAAAATATCAAACCCTTTTGGGTGTCTACCGAATAGACTCCGAAATTCACGGTGGAGTGGTGCACGGGCTCAACCTCTCACTCAAGTGATCTGCTGGATCACCCACAACTTTCCCTCCGTCGTCATATTTTTTTCGTATTCACCCCCCGACAATATCGCCTGCTCTGTTCACCAAGCGTCCGCCCTTGTCGGATGGGGTATCGTCGTTGCTGCCCGCGCGAACCCGGCTACGTTGGAGAGGCAAAAACTATCGGATTCTGGGTGGCCTTAGTTAAAAGGAACTGGCCCAACCGTTTTGCAGCCCGTCGTGCCTATCACGCCACGAAAATTCCACAGCTTTCCGGTCTCAGCTTCGCCGCTGAGCTATCAAATCGTGTAGACGCCCGGGTCAGGTGAAATCCGTAAACTGCACCAATTTTGTCCTTGCGGCGCCCCGATTTTTTCGCATGCCGTTCACCCTGCCCGCTATTGTCGGAGTAGAACAGTGCCGCGAGCTCCACTTTTGTTTTGTCTTTTCTGTACAGTTGTCGAACGAGCACCAATCCAGGAGTCTTTAACCAGCACAGGGTAGGCACGTGTTCACCCCCGTTGTTCGGCCAAGTAGTTTGACTGCATGAGTCAGAACTAAGACTTGGTGGGGATGGTGAGGTTCGGGCGAAGTAGGGCCGCAGATCAATTCCACCGGCTTTTAATCTGCTCCCCACGACGTTCTTCAACCCCCACTTAGCCGTTGGGCCGTTTCTTCCCGTGTGTCCCGGCAGCTTGTACTGACCCCTCCGAAATTGTCGGGCGGTACCTTGGATGCCGTTTAATCGTGGGTTGTCAGCAGCTGTCCCCGAAAACGAATTCCCTGGTCAGGAGAAACCGCTCTCGATACTGCCGGCCAGCTCGCAACAACACCAGGCACGCAGTGTCGCACGAGTTGTTTCCGAGGTGTACCTGTCTCGATTTCCCTCGCCGCCTCCGTCCCACTTCTGCTAAGTGAGATATGGCCACTCCGCTTTTCGTTGCAGCCTGTAAGTGTCGGCGAGTCTGAAGTCCCATCTGTCCACAAGCACTTCT